CGCACCCATCGATTGTCGCCAAACCTGTTCGACGACTTTCCCGCACCCTTCGTCTAGTAGCCAGGCTGATTCAAATTTGAAGGATCTCCTTCCACCACACGTGTCTCGCCTCTCCACGCTCAAGAAAATATTGTTATAATCTGACGTGAAAGTCAGTAAGTTTTCAATCTCTGCCTCCTCGAAAATATCCGACCAACTCACCGATGCCACCGCTCTATCAAGGCGTTCTTCGAACCAAGCCTCGGTACCACGTCCCTGTTCCCAAGTGAACCTGCTACCTGACATACCAAGGTCCAACAGTTGACAGTCGTCCAGAGCATCGTTGAACCCTTCGATTAAAGCCGTAGATTGTGCATGTGGCCCACGTTTCTCCGATTAGCAGGCGATATCATTGAAGTCGCCAATGACGACCCAAGGGAGTTGAGATCGATCTCTAAGCTCACGGAGAAAATCCCCAGATAGATGTCTCTTGGTTTGATCGAGGTTCCCATAGAAGCCCTTTAACCGCCAATCAGGTTTACCTGGCATTGAAACAATGACGTCGATATGGCTTGTCGAGTAACTGAGCAATGTTACCATTTCCTTATCCCTCCAAAAAAGCGCTAGACCTCCACCCATACCCGTCCGATCAACCGAGATCAGACCTTCATATCCCATTCGAACCCTTATTCTTTCCACTTGATCTGTAATAGCTTTCGTTTCTGTAAGAAAAACCAAACTGGGTTGCTTTCTGGATACTAAGTCCAGAAGTTCATGAATTGTCCGGTCGCTACCCAACCCCCAGCAGTTCCAACTCAAAGTGCTCATTGTGCGGGGCGAGTCTGAAGGATCAGACCCGCCGAAGAAGAGTTTTTTAGGTTTTCAGCCATGACGACATCAATCCCCTCGGTACTACCTGCCCTACGTCTCTTCAGATCACCTTGCAGACCAAAACTTTCCTCTTGTGCTACCTTTTCGTTCGGACTGATGATCGGATCAACAGTGGCTGTTGCCGCCTTAATTTGCGGGAGTTCAGCCAGCAACCATTTCGCCCCCACCGGCCTGACCTGACGCCGATGTCCAGCCCTCATCCATGAGCCATATGGGAATGAATCCGGCTCAATCCCTTCCTCATACACCCGTTTGCAGAATTTGTCCGAGTTCCCGAGGATCCCACAACAAAAACAAAAAGTACCCAGGCGCTCGTACTTGAAGCTTACCCAGTGCGTTGATCCATCCTTGCGGTTGATTTTCATTCGTCTCTTCAGCGGGACATTCACATCCATACGTACGCGAACCCGGTGGAAACTCCTCCATGTACCACCAAAGTTGTTCGGGTCAGCCGCGATGAATACCCCAATATACTCGCCGATGCGTTGGATGAACTCTGTTGTAGCAAAAACGGTGGGCAGATCATGAATTTGGACCCAGAAGGGTACATCGTTGAGTGGTATCTCTTCTGGATTGCCGCCGGTCGGAACCACGCCACATACCAGCATATGATTTTCGAAGGACCATGATCCATCGTCCACCACACGTAGCATGTCTTTCAAATGTGGGAATTGGAACAGGAATAGATTGTCGTTGATCGGTTGGATCCGCATCCCCATCACTGGCCGCCAGACCGAGGCCATCACCTGTTGCATGTGGTCATATTTGATCGTACGATCAGTTAGGAATCGACCAACGATTTCGTGATGGTTGATCGGAATAGCCGTTGTCAGGATCTCCGGTGCCTCTAAGCCACTCGCGTCTTCCGAAGCCAGGGACAAGACCGCACAGCCTTCCTCAATCACGTTAATCTCCATCGAGCCGAATAGGTGTTGATTGTCGAAAACACGTGAGAATCTGGACACGATCGTTGATATCAATTGATCGCCAATGAATCGATCAAAATCGAGAAGGAATATGTATAGGCAATGCAATAAATTGCTGTCGTCGTAAACAAAACTGGGATCGTGATCGAATGTTTTGAGATGGGTAACAGCCATGCAGAGACTGCATGTATAAGCGAGATACCACACAACGTGGGGAGGAATAGAATTACGTAGTGGAGAACAAATCGCCATAGTGCGTGGGATAAAAAACCCTAGAAGTCTAGGGAGATACTCTCCAAGAAAGACTCAGAGAGAGGCCACGATTCTATTTTTGATGTTAATTATAAAAAAAAAAATTAATCCTTTATTTAAATAAAATAAAGAGATTAAGAATACCCCACACAGTATAAGAAAGCAACAAATATACGGAGTAATAAAGTATCCATTTTTTGAGTTAAATGACCTAATTGCGTGGTGGTGTGTAATTAAATGGCCTATTTGACCATTATTCCTTTATTAAATACGGAGTATAAAAATGAATTAGTTAAGTAGTGTGAAGGTAATATACTAATATATCATCACTCTAAGTGGCCTATTTGACCAAAAGTGTAATTTAATCTATATATTATACATAAAATATTGTTACAACTTCAAAACTTATTTGATTTGTGTTTTCAGGGAACATTAATAAATTTTCAAATCTACCCTTCAATCATCGTGAATTTTAACATAAACTTAAGGTTTGGGACTAAAGCTACCACTAAACGAACAATTCATGAACTAAATGAGATCACATGTATAATTAAGGGGCTGAGTTTACAATATTGCATAATTGAGGGACTGAAATGATCATTCTCCCACACACACAAACACACACACATATTGGTGTGAGCGAGAGAGAGATCAAATTAGAAAAAGATTTTTCAATAAAAAAAATTAGAATAATCCATCTACATAAATCAACAATTGAAAAATAATGAAAAAACAAGAAGAAAATAGTGATGATATTTTTGAAATTATTATAAACTTTTACCAAGCACTAGATAAGCTTGAAAGGGCATTCAGGATAACTTATAGTCATGAAGACTAGGGGTGTTTTGGTTCACAGGTTTAACTCTAAGAAATGTGTATTAAAGTGATTGATATTGTTTGGTTGATAGATTTTTAGAACACTACTATGAGTTTCAAATACCCCTTAATTACAAACCTATACCCAAATAAAATAAAAGTATCTATCGGAGACTTCACATTCGGATTTGAGAGGGAAAGGAAGAGGAACGTGAGTATGTTATTCTGTTGTGGTGAACTGATTCAAAAGAGAAGCAACATATATACAGAAGGGTAGTTATAACTGCCCAAGTGAGGAAAGACCAAAACAACCCCTATTCTACTCGTACAGTATGAAAAGAAAAGAACTAGATATCACCATCTCAATAGTATCATCCCCTTTCATTCCCTTATTTCTTCTCATCCTCATTGATTAGTACTTTTAGATTTTTGTTTTTATTTTTTTGTTCATATTAATGTTTTGGATATTTTTATATTAGAATCAATAGTATTGATTTTAATTTGTGGTCTTGTATTTTTAAAATCTTTATTCAGATTATACATAATCAAACAGTATTATTGATAATCATTCTCATTCCACCCTACTATCAAACATGCAAAATCAGTGGCGGAGCCAGGAAATTTTGTCAGTGGGGGCAGAACATTACAACAAAAAAAGATAATTTTTACAAAAATGAAACACTTAAAAGTATAATTATAAATATCTTTTGATATAAGTAAAAAATAAACCATATCAAAACTTTATAAAAATATTTATAATAAAATATGAAACATAATTAATTTGATAAAATAATTAGAATAGAAAATAAATTATAAAGTACACATCTCATTTTATATATATGAAATTGTGTTGAAGCAATAGCCTAACAATTAATAATAAAAAGTCATAAAACTTATTTAACACCCAACAAGATTCAAACCCTAGACCTTACCAAAGGCCAAACACACGCTCAACCAACCGAACTGAAGCAACCCTTGTTTAAATTCTTGTGTTTTATTATACTAATACCTAAATCCTGTTCTATATATACATATATACATACAAGGATAATATAGGGGTGGGGTGGGGGGAGGGGGGCAGCTGCCCCACTGCCCCCATGCTGGCTCCGCCCCTGTGCAAAATACTTTTACTAAAATCCATTACAATTATCAAGTATTTGATACCCATTCCGGTTCTGATTCTCATGTGTTAACTAAAAGACCCTAGATTCAACCTCCTTCATCTCCTACTTGTGCTTCTTAAACTCAATTTGCTTTGTTACCCAATACCCATACGACTTAGTCATAACCTGATAATTATTTCCTCATATTATACTGGCAAGCACATCATCTAAGGTGTAGACTTGTAGGATCATCCTTGGGTGGGGATCTTAATTTCCTCTATGATGCATGACTCTTTCAAATCCATTGACTATTAATTACTTACTTTAATTTCCCCCCTTTTTTTGCGGCATCTTTCATGCATATAAATATCCAATGAACTTTGAGCGTTGAAAGATTGGAGATCTTTTAGTTGCTATATCGATTGAGAACAAAAACAAGAACTTGTTTTAAATTTTCATTTATTTACAGAACTTAACAAATTAATTATAGTTTAGATGCCCGCATAGGTAGCTCAACTGGTCATAGAGGTGAAACTTTGGAAGAATGACCAGGGATCGAGTCTCACCAGCGGCAGTGTGAGAACAACCTCTCAAAGTGAGGGGGGGGGGGGGGGGTCCTTGTGCACAGTGAGCACCGGTCTAGTCTCTATGATTAATGTTCAGTTGAGTCATCATGATTTACATCCTCCCACCGCTCTGTCGGGCCCGGGTTGGGGTTCAGTTTTTTTGGAAGAATTATAGTTTAGATAAACAATTCTGGCCAGCTAATCAAAGTAATTACGTTGTTAGTGGAGTATTCTGAAAAATTATATTGGTACAGCGCAGCTGTTCTTTAGTAATTATTAAATACAAAGTAATAAATAAATATTTTTTAAAAATCACATGCAATTAAATTAAATTAAATATTTCAATATTAAATACTAATTGTAAGCAAAGACAACTTCATAAAAAATAATTTGAAAATAAAAAATTAAAGTAGTCAATTCACAATCAACGCGCATTCAATTCGTATATATTATATTATCTTATCTTATCTACTACAGTATTATACCTACCTCCTGCATAATTGCATTTCCTATTTCTTCCATTCCCTGCGAGGTAGAGATCGAGAGAGCGCAAGCAAGCTAAGGATAAGGATGATAGTCGTGGACAAAGTCCTAGAGGAACTGGTAACACAGGGGGTAAATGCTTTGGTCCAAAATGTAACAGACAATGTAAAGCTGATTCGCGGCATAAATTCTGAGATAATAGATCTCACCTCCGACATCGAAACGTTTAACGCCAGGCTTGGGGAAGCTTTCAAGAACCCAAGGGCCAACGACCACAATGTTTTGAGAGTAATAGTGAAAAAATTCCGATTTGTTGTTGATGAGGCTAAGGATACGATTGCCAACTACGTTGTACTGAATAAGAGACATGGAGACAATGTCTTTTCAAAGTCCTTGGATAGGATTCCACTTTGCGGAAAGGTCAACGCCTATGCGAGCGATATCAAGTCCATTAGGGCAAAGATGAAAGCGATTCGCCAAGAGCACGAAAGAGAACTTCTATACCTCATGAAGTTCGAAATCAGAGGCCAAGACAATGATGTGAAAACTCTCCAGGTAACACAACAACTATTCCTAAGTTAAACTCTACTATTTCAAACTATTGGATCGTATTTCGTTACATAAATATATCATTTGGGATTGATGGGTAAGTTGCGCAGATTATGCTTTTAACTAGTTCAAACCTTATACCGGGGACCAAGGTCTACCGTGCGCTATAGAACCTGATTCTGGTCTTGTATCGCGTTGTTTTTGTAGGATAATTTATTGGGTTGTTTTTGTAGGATAATTTATTTAATTTTGACGAAGACTGTTTGCTTGTCCAATTCATATTATCGTGTTTTTTTTTTTTTTTTAAACTATAAAGTATGTGTATGTGTCTTGATGTCTTATAAATTTTGTACATTAACTTAAGAGTAAATTATGTTATGAATTTATGTGTATTGTGTTGTGAAATTCTGTGCCTATGAACATAACTTTTGTACCTAAATCAGATTTGGAAATAAATAAATATAGGGAAAATGGTCAAATAATAGACCATTGAACTATAGGCAAAAGAGCAATTAGGTCCTCCAACTTTAAAAAAGGTGCAATTAGACCATTCAATTTGTTATTTTGAGTCAAATAAAAACAATACTCGATTTTTCACTTGGAATAACCAGTCAATGCAAAAAATTCCGGCGACAACAATTTTTTATTTTTTATTTTTAAAAACACCTACCGGAGAAGACAAACCTCCGGTGGAGAAGGCGACCAGTCCGGTCGCCCTCTCCACTAGAGAGGGCGGCTAGATCTGGTCCCCTTCTCCACTGGAGAGGACAACCGAACTGGTCGCTTTCTCCACCGGAGAAGACAACGGAACGATTGTCTTCTCCGGTAGTTTTTTTGTTTTTTTTTTTTTTTTTTGTTTTTTTTGTTTTTTTTGTCGCCGGAAATATCGCCGAAAATTTTTGATCGGTTATTCCAGGTGAAAAACGTATTATTGGGCTTATTTGACTCAAAATAACAAGTTGAAGAGCCTAATTGCATCTTTTTAAAGTTGAAGGGCCTAATTGTTCTTTTGCCTATAGTTCAAGGGTCTATTTGACCCTTTTATCATAAATATATAACATGCGTATGTGTCTTGTGTTGTGAAATTTTGTACCTTAACTTAAGAGTATACATTCTTTACATGGAACAAATTAAATTAATAGCTTTGTATCCGACAACATATTGCGTGTCTTATGTTATGAATTTATGTGTCTTGTGTTGTAAAATTCTGTGCTTATAAACATAAATTTTGTACCTAAATCGTATCAGATTTGAAAATAAGTAAATATATAACACGTGTATGTGTCTTGTGTTATGAAATTCTTTACATTAAGAGTATGAATTCTATACTTAGAATATATTAGTAACTGTATAGACAAACAACATGGGAACCAAAAAAAATTAAAATATCTGTTAAAAAAAATTACAAAATCTGTTAAAATCTAAATATCAAAATAACATCATTTCCGTTCAAGATTCACAATGCTATGTGGACTCTAGTCCACAAAATAAATTGGCTAATTGGTGAGAATCGACTACCAAGAAGGGTTGATGAATAAGCCTACCCTTGATCCCTTTTTCCGAGATATTAAGGGGTCGTTTACTTCATTTCTCTGTTTTTCCATTTCCAGTTTTCCATTTCTCCACTTTTCCAGTTTTCCTTCTCCATTCCTCCAGTTTTCCATTCCTCCATTCTTCCAATTTTCATTTTTCTAAATAATATGATCTTCTTAAAAATAATTTTATAATTTATTTCATCACATAAAAAAGTTCAATACAGTAATACTAAATATAAATTTTAATACACTAACACTAAATAATTTTATAATTTGTTTCATCACATTAAAATTATTTCAATCATTTTAGTACATAGTTTGATTCCACAACAAAATATGTAAAACCTCATTAAATACAATCATCCCATATAGCATTTGTACAAATAATAATAATAATAATAATAATAATAATAATAATAATAATAACAAATCTGTGCTCATAATAATAATAATAATAATAATAATAATAATAATAATAAACATGTACGCTGTGCGCATAAGGGAAAGAAAAAGAAAAAGAAGTTTTGAAAACTGAAAAACGCTGTGCGCACAAGGGAGAAAAAAAGAAGAAGCTTTGAAAACTGAAAAGCAAAAACGCTGTGCGCACAAGGGAGAAAAAAAGAAGAAGCTTTGAAAACTGAAAAGCAAAAATAATTGCAGATGGCAAGAATTGAACTGTTGACCTCCCTCATTAATTAACACTGTTCACCCGCCCTCTCTCCATTCTTCCATTTGGAAACATCTAAAAATCAGTTCTCCAAATTTGTATACAAAGTTGGAGAATGGAGATGGAATAAGCATTTGGAAGCATAAATTTAGTAAACAACTTATCCATTTTTTATTTTTTCCATTCTTAATTTCTCCATTTTTCTTAGTAGGCTTAAAGCCATTTAGACTTGGGCTATCGGTTCTGGTCACTAGGCTGTGGGTTCGTGTAGTTACAGAACGTCCCGTCAAACTTACGATCTTCTGAGATGTTATGTCGAGTGTTTGGCGTCCATGCAGAGGTGTGAGTATCAAGGAAATTGGGACATGAGCGCTTCCTCTTTCTGGCTAGGAGGATAGCCAAGGAATATTTCAGGAATACTCCGTTCAGCAAATTTATCTCCATGTCGCTTCTGATTATGCACAAAACATCTACAACCAAAGACACGAATGTGAGATAATGGTGGAGCCCGTCGATAAATTTTCTCGTGCGGAGCAACCCCCCTAGCAATGAAGAGGGTGTCCGAATGATACCATGTTAAGAGATATATGAATTGTATGTTTTCTCTTATTCATTACAGAAGATGTACTCCTATATATACAAACTATAAGATAAAGAAAAGGAAACAAAATCAATGAGAATAATAATGAACCAAGAATACAAGACTAAATGAAGGTAGAAAATATTTGCTAGAATGAATACATGATTTCTTTTCCTTAACAGAACTTTTACTAATTCCCCACTTGTAATAACCAGTTAGGAAGAGTAGCTTCATGAATTTCATCTAGCTCCTCTTATCTGTTGTTTAGGTTTGAAATTACCCCTCCACAACATGCAATTTCTCCTTAGCCTTTGTTGTTTTTTGATGAGTCATAAAGAAGTAGGACTCATTTATCTTCAATAGACTTGTAGTTTTTGCGGTTTCCTTAGTTCCAATCCATTACAATGCAAACCCTTTCTAACTCAACTTTTAATTAGTTCAGGGAGGGTTCTCCATCCGTATTTCCTCCTCTACTTGTTGAATTAAGCTCTTAGTGAAAGTGATGTCAAATTCTTTAGTCTGTAGTGTGTTGGAAACTTCAATTCCTGATTTAAACTCATTTGGACTTGGGTGTTTATATATCTCCACTTCAACGCCTAGCTACAAGTTCAATTTTCTTTCCTATAATGTCCTTGCATACTCCAAGTTAGAATGCTTTCTGTTGTTGGTATAACAAGTTCTTGTGGGGTAATTCTAATGTATCCTCTAGCAACTACAATTTCAAGCTCACATGTAGCCACTGCTCATACAAATGAGCTGCCTGCCTCGTTATCATTTCTCAGTGCTTTCTTGGTATGTAGGTGGTTCATTTGAACATTGAAAATGGTTAGTTGGAATGGTTTAGTTGGTGTTTTAGCCATTGTCCTCATGATCCCTTGTGCCAATTCAAGGAAGACTTGAATTGATAGATCCTTACTTGAAGCTTGTTTCTTGCCAACATTTGGATTTTTTTTAATAAGAATTTGACATTCTCAACTTTAATTTCTTCTTGTGCCTCAACTGCGCTGCACCCCCTTTAGGCTAATTAATTGGGTGATCATGAATCCATATCCAATATTCTTTCCAAACAAACATTAGCTTCCTTCAAGGGTTTGCAGATTGCATAAATAAAATACTATATACTCGTATGTTAGTAAATAGAAATTTGGCCCAGTTGTAATTTTGATTCCCTTCAATTCATGATAGCACTCAAAATCTATAGCACACCTGGAAAAATTACAGCTAAAAGAACAGAGAAATAGGTAAAGAAGAAGAAGAGAAAACTAGGGTTCGAGAAGAAGAAAGGGATTTAGGGATTTTGATTCTGAAAATTGTACAAAAACATAGATGATAAAAAATATCCAACCCAAACGACATAATATAAAATCTATGCTAATACATCCAAAGGAATCTATAACAAACTCCACGATTTTCGCCTCTGCGCAATCCAGGTTGTTCTTCACCAAACGACGTCGCCTGAGGGAATCGCTGCAACTGCTTTCAACGGCCATCTACAACGACGTCGTCTCGTCCTTTTATTCAAACGGTTCCCAACGGCTACCTCAAATGGTGTCGTTTGAATAAGTAATAACGATTACTTATCCTTGCTGCAAACGACGTCGCTTTGGTCCTTCGACTTCTCTTCAATACTTAGATTATGAGACTGATTCCCCTCCTGCACCTCAATCCTTCTTCCATCCTTCCATTTCTCTTCTCTAATGTTCGAGATCATGACATTGCCCTCTCCTTCACCAGATCCTTGTCCCCAAGGATCAAAATTTGGGAATTGCTTGGTGATGTGATGATAATTTTCCCATGTAGCAGCATCCTTAGGCAAATTTGCCCATTGCACAAGAATTTCCACTTTAGCTGCATTGTTCTTCTTTACCAGCCTTTTCTCCAATGCAGCTATAGGTTGGGTGAGGATCATGCCTTCTGTATTAGTAGAAGGTAGTTCTGTTTGTAGCTCTATTCCAGCACCTACCCTCTTTTTCAACAAGGAGACATGGAACACAGGATGGATTGCAGCCTCTCCTGGGAGTTTCAGCTTATAGGCTACCTGGCCAATCTTTTCAATCACCTCAAAAGGTCCATAAAATCTGGCTGTTAGCTTTATGTTGGACCTTATAGCTACAGACATTTGCTTGTAAGGCCGTATTTTAAGATAAGCCCAATCCCCCACCTGAAAGCTTCTTTCAGTTCTGTATTTGTCAGCATGTTCCTTCATCCTAGCTTGTGCTTTTGA